TGATCAGTTCCTACAAGCTGCAGAGATAATACCAAGAAAAGGAGAGATAGAATGTTAGCGAGATCTTATGCTATAGGTCATGATGTTTCTCTACTTTATGAAGAGCAAAGAAAAGAACCGGTCAGGATCCCAAAACCAGTGATCATCAAGGATTAGTCCATACACAACAGACTCTCCAATAACCTTATGCCCTGATTTCCGAGCTTTAGCAATCTCGTCCATGGATCACCACTCAGCTTTCACTCCTAAACTTCATCGTATGCAAAAGCAGAAGGAGCTTCCTCTGAGGCTTTCTTATGCTGCTCCTCAATCTATCAACACAGAATCAACACACATAATCACTGAGATGAAATTTGAAAGAAATCTAAGGAATTATGGAAAGAGAATGATGTGGGGGGGGGAGATCAAAATTAAACTAAATTTCCTAAACTCAATCAACAAGATACAAGCAGAAGAAACACCATTTTCAGTGCTTGAGTGAACATCTAAACCCTAATTAACCACGATATACAGCCGATTGTGGAAGAAAACTTACCATGCACAAAGGAGAAACAATTGTCGATTGAGATCAGCAGCAGAAATCGATGAAGCTTTCCAATCAAAATCAAATCGCCAAAATCGCCATCGGAGAAGAGAGAGGGAGGAGAGAGAATCGAAAGAGAAAAATGACAAAGAAAACGCGTTTTGTTTCTTCTCATTAACGACGAGCCAATAAACTCCTGCCACATGGCAGGTAAGCTTCGACGCTTCTCACGCCTGAATAAGCGTCGGATTCTCTCTTTTTATTTACTTTTGAATTAAATTTGGGCTTAGCGCTGCATTAAGCGCCCTGCGTTAAACATGCTCTAACAACATGAATCTCATCTTGTGGCCCAGATACGAACCAGCAATTGTCAAACCCTAGGGCCCGAAGCAAAATCAAGCAATTGATACTAGATCCAAAGCAATTCGGCCAAACCCTAAGGGCCCGATCCTTTTCTTCAAGATACAGAGCCCAAACACCACAAATCCATGGCCTAAGAATAAGATCGACGACGACGGTTACGAATTTATCAGACTACAAGTCAAACCATAAGTCCTCAAAAGGATCGAACGAGACTAGCTAATCCTCCGTCAAATTCCAAAACCTTGATCGTCGGAAAGTTCGAAACCCCTAAAACGATACGATCATCGACGCGAAGCATCCCTAACGAATCCGCGACACAAACCCTAACGAATCGAATCGAATCGAGAAGATAACAGGTTTGTTACCTTATCTGCTTCGTCTAATCCTCCGTTATCCTTCTCCGCTGCCGCCTCGTTCGCTTCTTCTCCGTGTGGGATGACCAAATCCTTCTCTGAATCTTCTTCGTCGTTGCGCATGTCTTTGCTCATCTTTCTCTCTTCGTCAGTGTTCATGGTATTGATCGGGAATGTTCTAAGAAATTTTTAGAGAGAGAGAGTTGTTGGAAAGCAAAGTGATTTGAGCTGAGAGAATGGGGGTATTTATAGACTGGCGATTTCGGGGGGCTTTTTTCAAAGGAGCAACGCCTAATTTCTTTAGAGATTCACGCTTTTAACCCTGGGATACTTGGAGAGAACAACTTGATTTTTTTATTTTCTCATTTGTTGGGGAAAAAGTGAACTATATATATATGCAGTCTTTTGATGCAGCCTTTTTTCTTTTTCTTTTTATGCGGATGGAGCCATTAGATCACTACACAGTAAGATCACTCTTCCTGTGGTAGTTACTACTAGTGAATGATATCATAAAACTTCGTTCTGAATTTCATGTTTTGATTAGCCTGTGCAGAAGATGGTTTCTCAAGTTACAGCTAGCAAGAATATAAGTGGTGTAATGAGCTCTCCTTTGATTGTCATTTCCATTGCCAATTTTCCAAATGATACATGAGTCTGAAATTTATTGGCTTTGGTCGGTTAGAGAGCTAATATCTGGACGTAAGTGTGCCTTAATCATTTCGTTCTTATGAAGCCGTCGCAGAGTCTTGTTGTAGTCGTAAGAAGATGCATCTGCATCTGGTGACAAAGCCTCTCTGTTCTGCTACTCAATTATGTTCCTCCTACCTAACCAGAATCATGCTTGATGCTTAGTTGGCTCATATGGAATGTTTTTTTTTTCCCAACTCCCACTTGTCGCAGGTTGTAATAAACTGATGCTGATTCAGAAGAGCTGTATCTGCCTAAACAACGTTGGAAGTTACTCGAGGATCTCACTTCTGCCAGCGAGGTGCAAGTTTCTTCTTTCGCAAGAAAGGCTTAATGATTTCCCCTGAATGGACCAGCAGGATAAGGAGATTGATCTGCCAAAGTCCGTTCCTTTACTTGACATGTAAGCTAAAACATTTCATGGGTCAGCTTGTCATCACTCTCATCTGTGTAAAGTTCAAGTCTTTAACTCTTGTGGTTTGGTGTTGTTATGATTTTGCCGAAAGCAGAGGCAGAGAGTGAAGAACAGCAAAAAGCTCTTGCCGGTGTCTGTGGAACCCACTAGTTACAACTGCTGCTTTCTCTTACCAAGACAACAGAGGTTTCTCAACTTGTATTGCCTTCACTTTTACCTTGTACCAGAGGATCCTTCTGGAGAGGTTTCTGTGCTAGGCTGTGGGAACAGTTTGATAGAAAGACTAAGATGTTCCTTTTTGCAGGAAGTTGTCGGTTATATGATCAGTTGCAGGCTTGAACCTGAGGTTTGATTCCAGCTACCTATAGCAACCATTGAGCTTCGCAAAGTCCCACATCCCATCTTCACCCATTGCCTCATCTAACCTCTCCCAGGCAAACCAAATCGAGCTCCCCACGCACATGTCAGCTGCAAAGTATGGCCCCAAGAAAAAATGGTATTCCCATTGCCATGGGAACTGATTGCTCCATCAGAAGTTGTTCCGCAACTTCGGAAAGCTGGCAACAAATGCGATTCAAGATTGTACTTGTACCTATGCCTGCACGCATTATTTTAAGTCAGCCCAAATACTGGGAGGGATTTTCATGATATGCAGGTATGTGTAGTTAACTCAGTATATAGAATGAATGTTTTCTTCCCTTCTTTTTCTCGTTTTTTGTTGCTTATATTATTTCTTGAAATATGTAAATGCTGTAGGTAGAACTATATGCGGAATACGATACTAAGATGCTGCTTCCATTCTTACGTGGCAGTCAACATTACAAGTTAGAAAAGGTAGTCAACATTACAAGCTACAGCTGACTGACATGAACTATCTCTAGGTTATCTCTTTGTGAACTTGATACATTGCAAAATCTCAGGCATATGAACTTTGTGTCAAGAAAGATCTATTAAGAGAGCAGGTGTTTATCCTGGGGAGGATGGGAAATGCAAAACAAGCTCCTGCCGTCATCATAAATAAACTGCGTGATATATAGGGAGTATAGCTGCAGTAGATACTGCAGATATTTAAGCACATAGCAAACCGAGAAGGTATATCTTCCTTGAGGAACACTACTGTTCGGCGCTGGTCGTCTTTGGGGCAGGAGGGTCTTCTTCGCGTGCAAGAGAGGTTCTCAAACCAGCTTTGCCTCGGCTCTGCGATGATAGTCTGAAACGGTTCGGCTCAACACCTCGCAACATCTCTTAGAGACGACATAACAATCCCTCTGAACAATGTTCTTCTGCAGTAGATAACCTTTGCAAGGAACCTCAAAAGAAGAAACCTCATGGTGCAGATTCTGAAAGATTTCTATAGGTAACTCAAGATAGGAGTTTGATTTTCAGCTGCATTCTTCACTTGTGAATAACATCCGAATAATGATAAACGGTGACTAGGAAAATATATATATTCATATTCATGTATCAAAAAAAGTTTGGATTGATATATAATCTCATCATATTCATGTTAAGTTCTTTCAAATTACAATAAAACAGAGAGATATAAAGGAAACAAATTCAGATAAATTGGATGTTGCACTTTGACGACATTCTAGGGAGAGATAACAGATTAGCTCGCAAGAAACAGTTGTTGTGGAGGTTCTTGTCCGTGTCAACACTAACTTTGACAGTTTGAAGCCATCCCAAGTTGCCCAAGAAATGTCGCATCTGTTTCAGCTCTTGAAAAGAAGCTCCGTACTCTAAAATCTCTAGCACCTTACTTTACATGTCCATAAACAATACCTTCTTCTCCTCTTCTTCCTCCTCCTCCTCCTCATCAAATTTCCTCTTCTAATTCTTCTTCCGTATATGCTTTTTAGGGCTGCATGCGCATGCATCTCCGCATCTAACTGTTACTCTGTGCACAAGACCCTGGAGCCAAAAGCAGTTTCACATGTATAATGTGTAACACTTTACATCAACCAAAAAATATAAATAAAGGAAATTGATGACTAAAGTCTGTAGATTTGGACAACTATTGAGGAGAAGTGGCATTACTTGCCAACCTTTTTCCTTGTTGCTCTCAATAGATAACTTAAGGAGGTTGTAGAACACCGGCATGGATTCACAGCAGAAATGAAACGCCTGATTCATATATATGAGAGTGAGAGAGGCCTTGCTGGATTGATTCTAATCATCCACAAAACCAAATGAAGATTCAAAACTGACCTCAAGGGATCACCATACAAGGTTCAGCCCAAATAATACAAAGGAAAGAGCCCAATTCTAAAATAAAAATAAGAAGGGAGATGGAAAAGAAAACTTCCATAGTCGAGCCCATGTGAGTAGAGAAAATAATTGTGGACTATGAAAAACCAAGAGAAAACATAAGCTAAACATAGTGGAAAGTGGAAACAGAGTAAAATTGCGTAAAAAAGTCGCATATATATTAGTATAATAGTATTTACCCCATGACGTTAATACACAAAAGGGAAAAAATAAATTTTGATTCATATGCATTAGAATAAACAAAACTAAAGTGACAAATGTTATATTTTAGTCTTGGTGGCTTTTTTTTTGTTATAAAAGTCATAATACTACTGCAAAGGAATGTTATGGTTGACAAGCATTTCGTTATATTCCAAACTTTGAATATTTTAGAATTTTCACAATATTTTTTCAAATCCAGCTATGGCCTTGAGTCTTGATTAACACCTTGTTGGTTCGTGTCTATATTTTATGTTTTATAATACTAATATATAAAGAAATGTCAAATATGCTATATCATATTGGTCTTGCTACCATGTGTTGGAATATATCATTTACAAAATCAAACGAATCTTTATGACTTGAGGATTAAATACATCGAATTGATGGAACGAACAAGTTGATTGAGACAACATTTTGGCATAAATCTCATGGCCATAACAACAGTAAGCTGCTTGGCTAGGCTGCCCAACCAAACATTGCACACTTTTTGTACTAGCACGATGCAGACTGTATAATGGACTTGCAACAATACTGATTGTTGCTTAGCAAAAGAAGTGCCTTGAAGATTTTTTTGAAAAAACCAAAGATGAAAGAGTTGGGTCAATATATATATATATATGCTAAATATAATTTTCAAATTTAATGCTGAAAAATTCTCAATAAATTAATTTGAGTGATAATTAGGTTGCTTGTTGTCTTTCATATACACTACCACATCCTTAGTATGGAGGGCCTACATTTCTCAATTTCATTACTATTATTTTTGTAATTTCTTAAAATATAAAGATCACACATTTTTGTGTATGAAGAGAGCTTCAGTACATTCCCTCAAAATTCTTCTGGTTCGGTTAATTTATTGCCCTTCGCTGCTTCCGGGATGAACATGTCAGTGTCCGACTCCTGGTTCTCAATGCTCATCTTTCTGCTAATGCCTCTGTCTTCTTTCTTAATGTGAGAGATCTTCTTTCGTAAATCGTAATGTGAGAGAATTCAGGAACTAAAGTAGATTTTGAGTGCAGAAAATGGAGTATTCATAGTGCCGATTTTAGGATTTTTATTCAGAGGCAAAAATGCCCAATTTTTAAAAGATTCACACTTTAACCCCTTTTCTTTTTGAGGTTTTTAAAACCGATACTAGGAGAGGGAACTTTAAATCACTCCAACATTTTTATTTTCATGTGTTTTGGGAAAAGTTCGCAACTTATTAGAAACTAGAGGTTGTTTCACATTTTTTAGCCAGCCAAGACAGACTCACTTGTAGTTGACATGAACAGAGGTTTCTCAACTTCATTAGACTGTATTGCCTTCACTTTTACCTTTGTACCATGGACTCTTAATCTTCTGGAGAGGTTTCTGCTGGACTGTGGGAATAGTTTGATAGAAAGACCTAAAAAAAACATTAAGCGTTTAAGAACACTAAGAGGATCCTTTTTGCAGGAAAGTTGTCGACTATATGATCAGTTGCAGCTGAGGTCTAATTCCAGCTATATCAAGCATTGAGCTTGGCAAAGTCTCTAGTCTCCACATAGCGAACCAAAACTCACTGCTGTTCTGTTGCAGAAGCTTCACCCGCTATGGGAAAAGGTAAAAAACCTCCCCCCTCTTTACCAAGACCGTCTTTTACCATGTTTACGCGTATGTATGCCTACACCGAGAAACGCGTCGCACACCACAACACAGACAGTCTCTTGGTAGAGACGAGACACCTTCAGCTCTACTTTAGCCATACTTTTGGTACACAGTAGCAAACGGTTCAGTTTGGGAGGCCGAGAAAGCCAGAACACGCAGAGGGAAACCAAGCAGCCCGTAGGTGTTTGAATCACAAACATAGCCCTTGCGGATGACAATGTAAGGTAACCGGTCTTTAAATCGTTCATCAGGTTTGAAGCTGTCGGTACTATGTTGTTCATCATGACTCCACAAGCTGATATCCCTGCCACAATATTTCCATGATCTGAACCAGCCCATGCTCCGTAAGTTGATCCACCAATCAGTGAGCCCGGCTCCGTAAGCATTGCTGTAGATGGGAGTAAAGACATAGAGTGTAGTACCATCTCAGCTCAGAGAACATGTGAGGGAGTATATCTTCCTTGAGGAAGACTACTGTTCGGGAGCAGGAGGGTCTTCTTCGCGTGCAAGAGAGTTTCTCAAACCAGCTTTACCTCGGATTTGCGATGATAGTCCTGAAACGGTTCGGCTCAACACCTTGCAACATCTCTCAGTATCATAACACATAGCCGTGAACACCTGAAGAAACGACAGAACACTGTTCTTCTGCAGTAAATAACCATTGCAAGAAACCACATGGTGCAGATTCTGAAAGATTTCGATAGGTAACTCAAGATTGGAGTTTGATTCCACTCTCAAGAAGAACAAAAACGCCTACGTATGTATAATCAGAAACAGATTAATCATGTAATCTCATGTTCTTTTTTTATTGGTATATAATCTCATATTCATGTTCTTTCACATTGCCATGAAACCGAGATTTATAAACAAAGAAAAATCAGATGACTTGGTCACAACTCACAAGTATTCACATTGTTCAGCCCTTTCAGCTATATTCTTCACTTATGAATCTCGGCGACAAATAAATAACATCGACAGTTTATTGGACAAAACAAACTTTATTATAAGTATGTATCAAAAAATTTGCATGAAGAATGATAAACCTTGGTAGCAGGAAAAAATATATATAGATATATATATATATATATATTCAATCTTTATGCTAAATATAATTTTCGAAATTAATGCTAAAAATTCTCGAGAATTAATTTGAGTGATAATTACGTGGCTTTCTCTCTTTCATAGAAATTACAAAAATATAAAGATCACACATTTTTGTGTATGAAGGGAGCTTTAACTATCCATGTAGTAATGAGTTGATGTGATTTGCTAGCAAAACCTCTCTTCGAACTATGTCATATTTAAGTCTGGGGTTGAATGCATTTTAGCTTTAAATTTCTATATTCCTAATGCAATTTTTGTTGGATATGTGGATTCGACTATTTGATATGAATTCGTCAAGGAAAGAAACTGAAATAACAAAATCATGTGTTTGATACGTATATATTCGAAAAATGTGAGGGTAAATTGCGGAGCATTTCTAGTTTGGATATGTCTCTCCCATCATAAGGTAGATTCTAAAGATAACTTATAGGAAACACATAAGATGCAAGTATTTTATTCATTCACATTTATAATATAGTATAAGATATTGATTGATAAATAAGTAGACAAGTTTATATTAGTTACAACTTACAACTTATGCAGTGAGAATTTAACTACATATATTTTAGAGAAACAAAAAAACATGATATTATGTCTTCCGGTTTCTTTATTTGTGTATATAAAATTAGTAGTCTCATTTAATCAGATTCACAAGGAATAAAAAAGAGACAGGTGACAATTAAATTAAAGCATATTAGAGAGCTCCATCAAGTGGCTCATCTCCTCCATTTGACCCCCATTACTTGTTTCCTCCAAAAGCCATTTCTCAATAAATGTTAATGGTGGAGTATTATGATCATGATCATCATCACCATCTTCATGATCACCGCTAACGTTATTCACTGAAATCTTCTTAGGAACACCGAACCCCTGATCATCATCACCGTTGATTCTTTTGCTATGCCCCTCTTCCCAAGAACCTTGTAGCTGCTCGTATGGAAACTGATTGTGATGATCCATGTGATCGTTCGTCCGGTTTTGCAGTTTTTGATCCAAGAAATCAGCCGTACTACTCTTTGGGGATGCTCTCATCCAACCCTCAAGAAGGCGTGAAATGTTCTCGGTGCTTGAAGCATAGGTAGATCTATGATTAATGGCGTTTCTTGCGGCTGAAGTTTGCAACGCCATGTTTTCTGAAATGCTTCTCTCTTCACTCTCGGACTTGTTGAGCTTCTTCTTCAAATGGGTGTTCCAATAGTTCTTGATATCATTATCAGTTCTTTGTGGTAGATATGAAGCTATAGACGCCCATCTTTAGATTCAACCACATCCATGTGTAGACAAATATATAAGCAGATTTAGGGTAGATTACAGAAAAAGAATTCAAAGTTGAAGAGATGTAGATTCTTGTGTTTCGAGATTACTTGTTACCCAATAAGGCTTGCAAGTGAATGATCATTCCTTCCTCATGAGGAGTAAAGTTTCCGCGTTTAATTCCAGGTCTCAGATAATTTGTCCATCTCAGTCTACAGCTTTTGCTGCATCTCAATAACCCTTTAACAAGTCAAAGATACAAACAAACATCAAGTCATATATATAGCAAACAAAAGTTGAACAAAAATACAAGGAAACAGGTAAACATAATGACCAGTGTTGGTGGGAACAGATCTCCAGTTTCCAGGGCCATGTTCTTGGATGTAAGAAACGAGAATGATGTCTTCTTCAGGAGTCCATGGTCCTTTCTTGATCCCTATCTTGTCACAGCATGGAGGCCTCCCCATCTTTCTTTCTCTCTCTCTAGATCTCTAGAGTTTAATTATGTTCTCTTTATAGATGTGTAGAATATGTATATATACATAAATGAATTAAATGCAATATGTGTATGTATATATGTGAAATAAATTGGGTGACTTAAAGAAGAGGGAAGAACTTTTAATCCTGCTTTTCTTGACAACCTTTTTTGGATCTACCCAAGCTCACGAGTCACTCTGCCTTTTCCATTGAATATCTTGCGTAGCCGATTAACGAAGATTGTTTGAGCTCCATAATAAAAATGTTAATCACCCACCCCGTAAGAAAACGTTACTAACTTTTTTAGTAAATGATCAACCAGATTTGTTTATTGTGGAATGTTGCCATAAAAGGAACTCTTTAACATGTTGTAGGTGAATACATAATGTATCGATCAAAATAAATTGCTTGATATGGAACTTTCGTTGGTAATTACTTGCGGAACTGATAGAGGACTAGTGTGCTGATTATGTTTTACAAAGAAAATGATCAACATAAAGTGTGAGAAGAAACACAGATTTTTCATTGATTTTCTCCATGATTAAAGTGAACCATACAGTGCAACTTGGACATCCTCAAGTTTAGAAAAGTTAAAGTGGAATTTAGCAAAACTTGAAACAAACTTTGAATTCCGTAATCACACAACTTTTTTGATTGGCCCTCTGGATCCATGTCTTTTGTTGTACATGTATCACGCATCTCTCGTTGGCTCTATGTTCAACCAATATTCTCACAGCTTATCATACCAAGCTGTGAAAAGGACCCATTAATTAAATTTACCATTTGCCTTCTTTGTGGATATAATTTGTTTACTTACTCTTATGTTTTTTCATTATTTTGTCACCTGCATGCCCCTATAAAGTATAAACCAAACCAAAATACAAATCTGAACCGTACTGTCTAAACCAAAATTGATTAAATAATTATTGTCTCCTTTTTTTTTATCAAAACCGAACCAGGTGTAACACGAGTCCAAACCAAATAATTTTTTAACGAAATCTTGTGTAAACCGAATAAACCCAACATCGAAAAAATAAACCAAAGGAAATGACCAAATACCCACTATTTTATGATGTTGACGATGCAATAGAGAAGAAGCTCAAAACGAGCCAAGTCCAACAAACTGCTTCAAAATAAGTAGAGAAACAAAGCATAACATCAATACCATAATATGTCCTTTGTGTTAACTAAAACCAACGCTATACAGTCTATCAATCCATCTTAAAAAGTACCGGAGAATCATCACTCTCTCCCACAAACGAGACAAACCCTTTCTTCCCTTTCCCTTTCTTGTCTTCTATATATTCTGACTGCACACTTGCTAAGGATATATCGATATTAGAGAACCGAGCGGTCAATTGCGCAGACAGTACCCGACGACAACGCTGATGAATGCCACCACGCATACAAACAGCAGAGGGAACCCGATGTGCACTTCTTTCACTATCTTCTTCGTCCTCACGTCCGCCTGCATCACCATCACATATATACAAGCTCTGTTAGTTATTATGAAACAAAACATGCACGAGAAGGAGCTATGGCTTTTGGGTCTATAAGAAAACATCTATGTCTTCTCTCACCAGCTCTTGTTGCAAGCTTTCTCTATGTTGGGAGCTTATAGTCCGCTCTTCCATCAGCTTCGAAATAGTTGAATCAGCCTGCACCAGATTTTAACTCTTTAGCACAGTTAAACAATGCGGGAAGTTGCAGAGTTCAAAAGTTGATAAGCAGACCTGTTTCAACTTGGATTCAAGAGCACTGACTTTCAGCTTCATCTCATCGATGTCTTTAACCAACTTATGTTCATCCATTGCCTTGATATTCTGAGCATCTGTTTTCTGCAGCTGGACAACATCTCTGTCCCTCAGTATCTTCGGTTCATCATGATAAGCTACACTGTTAGCTGAAGTTATTCCATTATTAAACCCTTGATTCCCAGGTAGATCCATGACATTCTTAGTGGGAGCCTCCAAGTTATGTGTTGGCTTGATAGCCCTTCCATCATCTAAATCCTTATGAGACCTAATTGGATCGAATTCAGATTCTTTTGGCATCCTCATTGTATCGTAGCCTCCTTTTGCTGCCTTTAAGTCCTGATCCTCAATGAAATCCATGATGCCCCCTTTTGGTGGCTTCAACTCCTTTGCATCATCAGCTGCCTTTAACTCATCATGTCCAACCATCCTAGCCTCCTTTACAATCTCACTCTCCTAGAAAAATAAAGTTTCAAGAATCAAATAGTATAGGACACTGCCTACTGCTCCCAGTAAATGTGATTATAGGCTAAGCTAAAACTGAATTGGTGGACGAGAACTACATTCACTGCTTGGCAATTACTCTTCATATATATTACTACTGAAAACTGAAAAGGACTTAATATTCTTACATATTGTGGCGGAGCAAGGGTCTCTGATTCACTGTATAATCGATTTTTGAGAATGGAATCTTCAAATGCTGCTTCCTGCTTTATCCCACTAATTGGAGATAGTTCGGGTGAGTCAGAGGGTAACACGAGAGTGACTCTCAGTTTGTTTTCCTCTATGTGTTTGCCTTCCACTTTGGAGAACTGTCAATAATAAAGGAATATATACAAATATACTTAACAAACCAAATAACTGAATTTCAGGATGAGAAGCTCAAAAAGGTGTTGAATGTGTTTGCTTACCATGCTAGCTGTGATGTCCTCATCAGTTGTTTCCGCAGGCACAGCAGTACTCTGGATTAAGAATTTGTCTTTGCAAACCATATCTTGAGGTGGTTCTTTATAAGCTTGCATAATGACTGCAAAACATATACAACTCGATTAACCCAAAGCATTGACTGAATCTGAATGTGCAAGAACCCATTCATCATAAAGTTTCAATCTCGAATGCTCAAACAAGTTTTGAATTTGCCAAAAATGCAGGTTCCATGTAGTAAGAAACAGCCTGAACTTAGGAACCATATCCGGAGAAGATATATTTTCCCTTTTGACAACTATACTATGAACTCTGAAAGCCTAGGATCCTAGAACAATGTCCAAACGCTGAACCAATTTGAGGGACAAAGGACAAATCCATGCGTATATGATAAACATTCGAGTTCATTTCCCACGACAGTAGACATCATGCAACAACTTATCCAACCAACCAAGGTAATGTAGGTGCAAGAAATTCAAGCATTGTCATGAAGGATATAAAAACTTGGCATACCAGTGAATTCACTAGATGATTTTGGTGCAACAACGCCAACATTTGGACGGACACAGTACTTCTTTGGGGATGTGGTTTTGACCTGTCAAAATACAAAAACCACAAGTACTTTAGGTTTACTATCCAGAAAATTTTAAGATACTCGATATCCTGAAGCCAGAAAGAAAGAAAAAAAGATGATAAAAGGTGTTTAGACCTTAAATGCAACGAAATGAGGGGTTGTATTGGTAAGCACTACCACACAGGAAGTCTGCTTCTTCAGATCGACTACAAAAGAGGAACCCGGTTAGTCTTAGAAGGATAACAATTACCAGACGATTTGAAAAGCCAAGCAAATATATTCTTTAAAGGCTTCCATCTTTACTTATGAATAAGAATGAGAGGTAAGAAGCCACACCACAGAATTATACCACATACAAATCTAGTTTGAAAATTCCTCAACACAACTTACACCTTATCAGTAATCAACTCATCATTACACGAGAACATACATAAACCATAGCACCACTATGACAGAATCCTAATTAGAACGAAATAGTTGAGAATTCAGAAAACTCCTTCTTAACGATGACCACAGTGTCTAAACCTTACTAAAAATGATCATTTTGCAAGTGAGAAGAATCAGTCCAGTGACATCTTACCTACAAACTTCAATGTTCGTGGTTGAATATCCAACAGCGGCATATTCATGTTGATGTGACGAAATCTGGTTAAACACGCTCGTACTCACTCAGCTTCAAACAGCTACACCTTGTAGCGGGACTTTCTCCTACCCAATATCAACAAAAATCAGAGAAAAATATACTCGATCAGCTCGGAATCACTCAACCATGGAACTTTTGATACTCGGAAGGACATCAATAATCAGATCAACACTCCCTTATGACGAAATCTAACCACGCAATCAACCAGAACAACAGCGAAATCAAAAATAAAAAGCAGCGAATTCAGATGCAAGTACGCAGGAAAAAAAAATCTGTAACACTCAGAAACGGAGAAGTTTCGCAAAATCGTCTTCCGCCACCGTAAGCGAACCACGAGTTCTCTCAAATCCAACCGCGCGAACTCGCCCGAAGACTCAAACGCGACTAATTTTCGTTTTACCTTAATGCGTTCGCTTTTTTCACCGATCCGACCGACAAAACTTCTCAGCAACGCGCTTTTCGACTAGCCGGAAAATCAAACCGTCACTAGTCCCCACCGTGCAGTTCGACGACGATCTAATTATGTCAACAAAGGCCTCACACTACTCAACTGCTCGTATTTAAAACAGAAGAGGCGAAAATAGAAACGGCAACGTTTTCGAGGAGCGACTCCTCGGGATCCGGTAGCGAATAGTAAACTCAGATCACATGGATCTTCCGGAGCCCTAGCGATTTCGATCTCAAAAGAAGAAAAGCACGAAAATCGAGGAACAACCTAGTCTAAAACAAAAAAAAATGATAAGGACGGAGATGAATCAGAAGAAAATCTTACCGTCTTTCTACAGCAAAAGGAACCACCGGAGCTTGAGATTGGACGAAGAAGCAGCGATCGAGAAAGAGAGAATTTCTCTAGAAACCTAATTTGAGAGAGAAGAGGTGGGTACAAGAAGTAGTGAAGGCCAAGTATGGCAATGCATTCAAAACATCAAACATGATAGAAAATTAAAGTATGGTACTGAGATGGAGACGGTGAACATTTGTTGTACCAAACGGCAATTACTAAACAAAAAAATTGTTACGACTAAAAATTTGCGATTATTTTTTGTAACGGGCCTATGTTCGTGGCATATTCTAGATCTAGAAGTACTTTATCATAAATAAAAGATTATAAGTGAGATTGGAGAATAAAACAAGAATTAAGTGAGATTGCATTCGGTAGATGCGAGAATATGTGATAGGGATATGAATGATTTAAAAAATATTGTAACTTGAATGCTTTTGAAGAGGATTACACGCGTGATTGTGATTCGATTCCGATCAACAAACCCTTTTTGTTTTGGCCTTTTAATTGCTTTTTTTTCCATTTCTCTGTCTCTCGCAACGGAAAGAAGAGATTTAAATACGTAATCCAATATTCCGAAAGACGTCAACAAAATAAAAACATAGCTCAAAATGATATACAGACAGAAATTTGAAAAATTGGTACACAAAAAAAACTTTATGTTTATATGGTCCTATATGTAGGTTCTATGTATTAATAACTCTCTGGAAATGTATGTGGGATCTTCGGAATCATTTCCAATTATCAGTTTTTTTAAGTTGTTGGGATCTCCCGAAAAGCTAGTATAGAAGATCCTCGTTCTAAACTTGTGAGTTGTGACATATGACTAGTTTAACTAGTACCAATTTTCGTTAGATTTCGAAGCCTTGTATATTCTGATTCACATCATATAAACAAAACTGTTATACGTCCTAATCTCTATAGTCAATAGTATACATTTGCTTTGTTGTATAGGTGTAAAGCAATAAATTATGTTGAGATTAGTTGTAACCATTTTTACCTCATAGCAAAGTTTAGCTGAATTGAGATTGGGGTCCTAAAGAGCAATCTCATGAATCAATCATACAATAAGAGAAAAATGGTAGAATGAAGAGCAACCTCATAAAAGTGGTGCGAGCCCACCAATTTTAAATGAGAGCCCACAAGTTCAGATTTCAGTGAGTCACCAAATTTTCAATTGGGGGCCCACACGTACAGACACTGTTTCAGAGAAAAGAAAAATGAAAATGGGAGTCAAACTTGGGAAAAGTCAGTCTAGCTTCGATTATCCATCCTGACTTGTTTTTTTTAAATAAAGTAAAATAAAAATTAAGTAGTGATCATCATCACCTACCCACATTTCGATCTCGTGCGTGTCTATATACAACAACTTCGCCAGACGAAAGCAGCAACACAAAGCTCATTTTCAGAGAATTCAGCATTTGATAGCTCAAAACACTTTTATTCTTTTCCAAAGGGGTTACCTGAGGTACGTTGTTAGATTCCTTTCCTCTGGGTTTCGTTTGTCATTAATGGATGATATTCTTAGATCCTTTCCTATTCCAAGTCCGAATCTACGCTTAGATCTTTGAAGAAATGGTTTTTTTCTATTTTATCATCGCTGGATCTATTGATTCCTTCCTTGTTTTCTTCGGGTTTATCACTCTTCTGAAGACGGCTTGACTTTTTCCATTTGAAAACTAGTCTGAGTTTATTATGGCTTAGATGTGTTGATGAAGTAGAGCATCCTGATGATATCAGATTTGTGTTGTTTTCTAAGTGATAAATCAAAAATCATTGATGGGTTTAATAAAGATCTATTTTTGGACAAGATCAAGAGGAGATGGGTGTTAAATAGCTGTGATGTTTAGAATTGTTTCTGGATCTTTACGTGTTTTTGATATTTGTTTCCGTTGATTTGACAGATCACAAAGGATACAAACTATGGCGAAGGGAGTGGCAGTTTTGAACAGCAGTGAGGAGGGTGTTAAGGGAACTATCTTCTTCACACAGGAATCAGAAGGTAGTTTCTTTTCTTTTGAGATTTTTGAAGCCGTATACCTTCTTTTCAAGTGTTGAAAATTCTTGTGTTGGTTTTTTGCAGGTACGACCACTGTCACTGGAACAGTTTCTGGACTTAAGCCTGGTCTCCATGGTTTCCATGTCCATGCTCTTGGTGACACCACTAACGGCTGCATGTCCACTGGTACCTATTCTTTAACTTATTTCAGTAAATGTTGTTGTATGGATAAGAAACTTTAGTAGATGATGGTATTTTGCCTACATGGTTTTTGAATAATTCAGCTGCTGTTTCTTTTGTTTGTTTGGAGAGTTTACAAATTTATCTTTCGACTTGAGAGCTATAAGTGTCGTTAAAAGTAATTGAAATTGTGCTAAACCCTTTGTTCAAACTCTTATTGTAGGACCACATTTCAACCCTGCTGGTAAAACACACGGTGCTCCAGAGGATGCTAACCGACATGCTGGAGATCTAGGAAACATCGTTGTTGGAGATGATGGTATATTTTCTCAACTTCTGTATCCCTTGATCTCAAGCTTCTCTGTTGAGCATTTTTGCATCTTGTGTATTCTTCATCACATTTGTTTGCTATTCTCTTATGTAGTCTGAGATTTATAGTGCATTTTTTTTATCTTAGTGTTCATGGGTTGGATATAAACAAAATCTTGTTTTTTTTTTTACTTTCTCAGGAACTGCCACCTTCACAATCACTGACAGTCAGGTTAGTAGCTGTGTACCTATTGTATGTTTTTTTTATTCGTTTCCTGAAACTGCTATAGTGATCCAATATTTTGTGTTGGTTTTACAGATTCCTCTGACTGGACCAGACTCTATTATTGGAAGGGCTGTTGTTGTCCACGCTGACCCTGATGACCTCGGAAAGGGTGATGACCTTTCTCTATCGTTTTCTTTTATAGATTTTTTGGTTAATTTCCTTGATCATCCTAGCTCTTTGAAGTTACAATTTCCATATGAGGACATGTACTAGACTCAACATCCATCCGAAGAACACTCTTTAACCTGGAGTCTCATTGTCTTTTACATTTTCAGGAGGCCATGAACTTAGCTTGGCTACCGGAAATGCAGGCGGCCGTATTGCTTGCGGTAAGTATAACTATTAGTTATTAACTAAACC